ATATAATTTAGGAAGAATAGGAAACAAGATGAAAAAAACTAAAAGTAGAAAAATATATAATCAATAAAAGAGATGTCGTAAAAATTGAAAAATGGAAGTAAAATAGTATTAAAAAAATATAAACTGTGTGACAAAAAATGATTGGTCCATGGCATACACTGCTGCTGTTAAAACTGGTGTTGGTCACAAAAGGTGGTATTTCTACCATTTCGGACAGTTACTGGAGTTCACATGATCCCTGCAAAGTTTAAGTGTTCTTTTGGTAAAACTGGACAAGTTGGGGGGTGGGGAGAATATGTATTGGAAGGAAAAAAATCTAAGGGTGTTTTAAGCGAAAGAGTGTACAATACAGAATATTAAGTGGAAAAGTTATTACTTCCTTAGGCTTTTGGTGTAAAGAACAAAATATAGAAGAGGAAATCCAATTAGTCAATTTTATAGGTTCTTCTAAGTACTTCTGTAATTTTTAATTGCAATGCTTTTTGGATGTGTCTCCAGCATAGTTCTAAATGCTACCAGTTCCAAAGAAAAAAAAAGAATATGTAGTAACCCAAAATAAAAAGATGTAATTAGTCAACCTAAAAAAGTACATGTAGACCTATTAATTACAAACCAAGTACAACTAATAGAAATCAAACCAAGGAGGAAGATAAATTGAACTGATACATGGAATTTTTAACTTGAAGAATTCTAGAGAGGTTTAACTTTTCTAAAGCACTCCAAATCTTGATGTTAAGATGGAAGTTTCCAATATCACGAGTTTGTGTCATGCCTACATCAAGTTATAAATTAATATAATAATGATTTATGGCATTACCCCTGTGCAGAAAATGTAGTGTATCTATATAATGTGCATAGACTATGGTTAGAATGTGCATAGACTTGAACTAATCATTTTTTTCTTTCTGCCACAGGTTAAGAGCATCAATGGAAGGTTACCTTGATGCTTTTGATCCAAAGAAGTCAGTCACACCGGCTGGAATTTTCAGTACTCGAGTTGAGGTGAGGGATTTGCAGATTGAGCTAGTCTTAGAGTATTCTCTCCTTCGGCAGATGCATTGTAACATTAGGAAGATTTTTTTTTTTTTAATTATTGCCTCATAGCTTGATGTCAACTAATACTTTATGCTAGGAAAGTTGTCCCTTTGATTGCCTTCCTAACTTCTTAATGTGAACCATATGTATTTTACCCTTGCAGTTTCAGAAGCACTGGAACTTAAAATTTGTTGATCCTTGTGGTACAACTGCTAATATGAGCATAAAATTGGTGTAGTTCCTTACAAAGCTTAATCATAACAATAATAAAATAATCCCTTTTATTAACTGTTGTCAAACATACGTTTCACACTTTAGCTCAGTGAAAGCAAGTATGCCAAGTCAGGCATAGTGACCATATTTCCCAGTTGTCTTTGCTCACATACTATTTCTAATTTCTGAAAACATGTCCTTATCTCACTGGTGATATATGTAGGAACTTGAATTCGAATGTGTACCAGCAACCCTCATGGACCAAGTAACTAATTTTCTAAATGTAAGTCTGCTCACTTTCACTATTTTGTTGTATTTCGTGGTTTTGTTGCTCACTTCCCTTTATTTCCAGGAGACTAGGGAGGATCTCAGATGCTCAATGGCCAAAGATGCAGCAGCTATCAAGAATGAGAGCTTGCTTGTTGACAATGATGGAAAGGGCAAAGAGACGTCTGAAAATCTTACTGAAGGGCAAACAGTAGTTCTGCCGGTGCAAGATATATCACTAGATTTTCAGAGGAAGATTACTGTTTCCAAACATGAAATGCAAAGTTTTTCTTCTGCCGTCTTGTTGGAGAATGAAGGACCGTTAAATTCATTACTAGGTAACTGAATAAAATACTGATTTCGTAATGATTTGCATCACAATTTGGTATGAGAAGGTGAATTACACAGAGGAAGCATTATATAAACTGTCCGTGCAAATAATTCGTCAGACCAATAAGTTCATTGCCAGAATAATTGCTTGTGACTTGCATCATGTACGTAATGTGCTAGCCTGGAATTTCCCCCGGATCCCCATCCATTCTCTCGAGGAAAAGCATTTTTATATCTTCACTAGTTTCTGTTTATGTAAAAAAAAAAAAAAAATTGATGAGTATGGTGTTTGGGCCGGCTTTCACGTACCTCGACTAATTCCACGGGATACATCCCACCAACAACAGGCACCAGATAACTCTGTCCAGGGAAGAATCACCTCGTGTTTTTTGTCTCCGCTGGGACTTGAACCTGAGACCTCATGATTCTCAACCTTTTCAATGACCACTAGGCCGCACCTGTATGTAATATTTATCTGCTCCTATTGATGTCACAGAAAGGCTGTCTTAATGCCATTTTTATCTCTTGTATCTGCTTGTCACTAACAAATAAAGTTCAAACTCTATTGCTAGTCTTTGAATAATTATATAGATGCAAGTTCATATCGACTTCAGGAGTGACGTGCCGCAGTAATAGGTTAAGTAACTATATGAACTTGTATGATATAGTAGTCATGTGGTGAAATTTATGAGAAGGGTATTTCCATCGCTTTCCATAATTTGTATCTCATGTATTTTCAAGATTTTTATTTCATTGATTGTCCTACTTGGTGCTTCTCTGTCAATGCAGACATAGAGAAGGAAGATCAGCTTCTTGAGAGAGTGTTGTACTCGAAAACTGTAGCTTTTGAGAAGTCGAATGCAAGTCAACAGGATATTATCCTTGTAGCATCACTAATTGATCGGATACCTAATCTTGCAGGATTGGCACGTACTTGTGAGGTGTGCAATCACGCTGTTGTTTCTATGCCTTGTGGATTTGGGTGTTGGTGTGTGCATGTTTTTTAGTTTCAGAAGGTTTATTGTTCTTTCTGATTGACTTGTAACAGGTATTTAGAGCGTCTGCACTGGCCATTGCAGACAAAAACGTAGTGAAAGACAAGCAATTCCAATTGATCAGGTTGTGATAGTATTACATTCATCTTTTGCTTTGTTTAAATTGCATGTGCTTGGGCTTTGCTTTGATTTTTCACATTGCAGATGCAAATAAATCTGAAGCAAGCCAGGTTGCAGGGAAATTTATAAATTTCCTATCTCATTCATGTTATGACATAACATTTTTAAATAGTAAATAAAAATCCTATTTTTGGCTGGATTTAAAATGAACTAGAATTAAGAAATAGGGTTTTTGGGATGAGCAATAAATTAAACAAACAAATCATGGATAAATATATTGAGGATCTGATGACATCCTCAAATAGAATAAAGATGATGTGGTTTGAAAGAATAACTGCATTGCCTGATATAATGAACTAACCCACAAATTCTTTTGAAGTCTCTTAATATTTTGCTTCTTTGTGCAAAATTTACTGGAATGTGCCTGCACACTTTGACTTATAGATTAACACTATGTCAAGGTGATTTTAGTGAAAGTTGCTGCATATTTACACCAAAGGTGATTTTAGTGAACTTTAAGGGGGTTAGGATTTCACAACTTGCAAATCCTCGATGTAAAATTTTGTTTTTGTGAATAGGAATTTTAGATCAGCATTACGAATGAATGGGAAAGTACCTGGATAGAGAGTGTTTTTTCTAAGTTGGAGAGGAAATGCTTGGTGTTAAATAGATTATCTTGATTATGGCTCCTTTTGTAGTTGACTGGAAGTATTTGTTGTATGTGTAGTGTAACTGCAGAGAAATGGGTCCCCATTATTGAAGTCCCAGTTATTAGTATGAAAGTTTTCTTGGAGAGGAAGAAGCACGAAGGTTTCTCCATCTTAGGTCTGGAGCAAACAGCAAACAGCATTTCTCTTGACCAATACGAGTTTCCTAAGAGGACGGTGAGTTTCGTATGGTCAACATGGTGTTTCTTCTTTCCTTGAGTGAATTATTTTATCTACACCAGTTTGATTGTAGATCTTCACTCTTGTTGCAAATGAATGGTCATGTGCCATGTGCATAAATAGGAGGACTTACAAATTAGTGGATCCTTCTATTTTCTTTATATTTGAACTGTCTATACCAATATCAATATTTTCTAATGTTTATAATTTGCTTACCATGTGGTTTATATAATTTATGGTTAGGAAAAAAGTGTCTTAATGCCAAACTTGGAAACGTGTGTGTATCACTAGGTTGACAATGATACCAATCTTTAGTGAAGGCACAACTCTACTTTTTGAAAATTCTCTTTCACGAAATGATTTTCTTACTGTTGTTTTATTCATGATTCGTAAATTAAATTGTTATTGATGTTATTCATGATTCGTAAAATAAATTGATATATTGATGTTATTCATGATTTCTTTAAAGACAACCTTTCAAATTAGTCTGATTATTGGTTGAATATTTGTAGGTCTTGGTCCTTGGCCGAGAAAAAGAGGGTATACCTGTGGACATCATTCACATCTTGGATGCTTGCATAGAAATCCCACAGTTGGGAATAGTTCGATCACTCAACGTTCATGTCAGTGGTGCCATTGCACTTTGGGAATACACTAGGCAGCAAAGATCCAGTAGCTGCTGACTTTCGCTACTAACTCCCTGCTTTCCTTTGGAGTGCAAGATAGCTTATTGTTTCTATCATCCTCATATTTACTGTATAATTACAGGTCACATATGTTATATTAGCAAATACACGTACATGTACCCCTCTGTATGTGGTGATATTGTTCTCGAGGGGCTCCAATTTTGTGTTATAGAAGATCTCTGCAAGTGATCTGAAGTTGAGGGAACAATCCATCATCCTTATGTTTCTTATTGAGTATTAGGAGTAGATTTTTCCCTCATTGTGTTGTGTTGTGTTTATTTCTCCAGCAGGTTTTATACAGTTTACTACTAAAAGTTTTGATTATTCAATGAAATTTGCAAGTACTTGCTTCTTGTTTTGAAGTATGGTTAGGGCTGATGATTCGAAATTTCTTCCTTTGTTTCTCTCTGTACACTGTACAGTCACCATAAAACAAGAGCAGGTCTCTTGTTAGTCCTTTAATTTTGTTACAACTTACTGGAGAGAATTGTCTACTCTATTTAAGAGATTACTCAAACTACCTGATTTCTCATGTTCATATTTATGTTTACCTATGGTCTTTGGGTCAAGTTTGCAAGTGACTTGAGCAAAGTCTACTTCAGGCAAATGTGACTACCTATACTCCAACTATAGGTACAAGGGCATAGCGATTAGCGAGCAGCCGAGCACAAAAGAGGAATTGAATGTGTCTTTATGAAGAATGAAGTCGAGTCTTAGAAAGAAGAGTGGTGTGAGAACGTTGTGTGAAATAAAAAAAGATAGGAAAGCAACTGAGTGCAAGACAAAAAAGGCAAAAGGTTTAGACAAGCCAAACAAAGAAAGATATGAAAGTTGGAAGAAATAATATCACTTTACTCAGTGGTCTCGGGTTTGGATATCCCGTACAGAGTCATCTTTGATAGTAAGTGCAACCCCCTTACCCCATGTGTGCATGATGCCAGAAAATAAAGATAGAAGTAGAAAACCCCCAAATCATAACCCAATCAATGCATGAAGAAGGGATGCAAAACCAAATGGACAGGGGAGTGGTTTGGAAATGGAAAAATCATGCATGCAAAACAAGTCTTTTAAAAGTGACTACTTTACCTCTCTTTCAAATGTCTAATACACCATATTTTCTAGTAATGGCAACCATTTTAACCTTCATTGCCCTCTCTTTTATCACTACATGGGTGCCCTTACTGGCAAATGCAAAAATCTTCATGGTTCTAATGAAAGATGACCCTTTTGTATCTACAGAATCAAAGTAAAAACACTTGCCTCTTCCTTAACCTGATTTAGTTAGCCATTAAGCATGCACTCTGATTTATTATTGCTATTATGCTAATCTATTTTTCAGGAATTTGGAAGATGTTAATATCTACAAAGAGAGGATGAGAAGACAACATGACATGCTTCTAGGATCTCTTCTAGAAAAAAGTGTTTATACCAAAGTTTACAGCTATACTCATTTGATAAATGGATTTGCCATTCATTTGACATCTGATGAGGTAGGCATTTGACTTCATCAGTACTGATATCTGCAAAGATTTTAGTATTTTTTTTTTCTGTTGACTAGCTAAATGCTGAAAGAATTGTTAAGTATTATATTGCTGCAGGCCCTTGATGTTCTGCGGAATGTAGAAGGTGTTAGAGCCATTTATGAAGATGTAAAGATGAAGAAGCTGACAACGCATACACCTGACTTTTTAGGACTTCCTGTTGGTGTCTGGCCTAAGTTAGGTGGCCCTACGACTTCAGGGGCAGGCGTTGTGATTGGTATGATTGATACTGGAATCAATCCGTTCCATCCTAGCTTTTTGGCTCAAGCATCAAATGGTGCTGGCCGTGGAACAATTGTGAAAAGTGGAAAATTCAAAGGGAAGTGTGTGACTGGAGATAGATTCCCCGAAACAGCCTGCAATAGCAAGATAGTTGGAGCACAATATTTTGCAAGAGCTGCAACTGCCGCTGGCGAATTTAATGCCTCTCGTGACTATGCTTCCCCTTTTGATGCTGATGGACATGGAAGGTAAGTGACTTAGTATGAAAAACATACTTGGCAGTATTGTTTAGTAACCACTGAAACTGAATTATGATTGACCTTTTAGACTATTATTATTTTGTTTCATTTAGTATTTTTGTATGATATTACATGTTCATAATCTATGAAAGATGTTTCGACATAGCAGCCATACAGCATCAACTGCAGCAGGAAATCATCAGGTTCCTGTCATTGTCAACCATTTCAACTATGGTTACGCAAGTGGTATGGCTCCAGGAGCAGGGTAATATGAATATTATTTTTCTCTCTCTTTTTATCAAGAATTCCACATGTGAAGTTTGATCTTGATTAAGAAAAACCGTGCTGCATCTTCTAACAGGATTGCTGTGTATAAGGCCATGTATTCTTTCGGAGGTTTTATGTCAGATGTTGTGGCTGCAGTAGATCAGGTTGGAAATTATAGTAGATTACATATTTATGCATCTTTCGCTTTTTTAAAGCTTTTTACTTGTTAAAGTAGCTAATACTCAAAGGTTATCTTGGCAACATTTTTATCATTTAGGCAGTAGAAGATGGAGTGGATATACTTAGCCTTTCTGTAGGGCCAGCTAGTGTTCCTACTGGCCCTTCTGCTTTCCTCAATGTTCTGGAAATGCAGCTTTTATTTGCAACAAGAGCTGGTGTGTTGGTTGTTCAAGCTGCTGGAAATGGCGGTCCTTCTTCAACTTCCATTCTTTCCTTCAGTCCCTGGATCACAAGTGTTGCTGCCTCCACTACGGATCGTAGATATAATAATTCAATTGTTCTAGGCAATGGACAAAGCTTCTCTGGCAGTGGACTTTCGCGTTAAGTTCCTTACCTCTTTCTTGCTGTTAAATTTCAGTTATTTTCTTTAGAGTGAAGGGTCAAAACGCACCAAAAGTATCCAGGTATTTCAATTTTGAAACCTTAACCATCAGGTGTGTGAGTCGAGCTTCCTAGCATAACTATCACCAGCTATTTATCAAAACACATCTCAACCATCACTTATTCCTTTTTTCTACCTAAGTGATGGTTGATATTTCAGGTAGAAAAGGGAACAATTGATAGTTGATGTGTGTTTTTAATCATTAACACATTACTTTATTAACAAATAACAATTGATGTCTGCATTATCTATATTATAGTGACTGCTTCTCTTTTTCTCGTCGCGTGAAAATGTGGCCTTAACATCTTATTTTGCAGCCCCAACCCTTTCAGAAGTGCATTTCCCACTTGCTGCTGCATCTGATGTTTGTAAAGGGAACACTTCTTCTGCTCTATTGACAGTTGAGAGCTGCCAGGAGACAGAACCATTCATTCGAACATTAGTGCAGGGGAAGATAGTAATATGCACATATACATTTGATTTTGAATCAGAGGCAGCAAGCATAGCCACTGTTGCTGATACAATACAAGAAGTCGGGGCAGCTGGCTTTGTACTGACAATGGACCCTGATATTAGTTCTGAAAAAATTAAGGGAGCTACAATGACTTTGACAGTACCTGGTCTAATCCTGAACAGCATGGAAGCCTCTACGGTATTAATCTCGTATCCATAACCACCAGGATCACCACGAATGGTTCTCTTTATGGGTGAAAAATAGAAATTATGATGTCACAAAACTGGTTTCATCTGAAACCATAAATAGTAAATATTGTACATTTCTTGGTTCAATCTGCAAGAACTCCACGACTTTGAGAAGTTCAACTTAATCTATAGATATTCAAAGCAATAGTTTTCAAGGGCCTAGAATATATCTTGATAAGGCTGTCAATTGTCTACTAATCCTGATATTCCTTGTTGTCTGCTGCAGGCTTTGCGTGAATACTATAACTCGAACACATTAAGAAGTAGAAGTGGAAGGGCTATTAGTTTCAGAGCTACAGCAAAAATTTTAGACGGGAGACAAGCTAGTTATAACAGTCAGGATCCGTTTGTGGCATCATATTCATCTAGAGGTCCTGATGTGAACAATGCACTCTTAGACACTGCTGATGTCCTTAAACCAAACATCATGGCTCCAGGATCCTCGATATGGGCATCTTGGAGCCCTAATAGTGAAGGAGATCAACACATCAAAGGTATGATTATACAAATTCAGCGTATTTTACACACTTGAACAATGCTACTCATGAATTATCCAACATCAACCTTATATTTTGGTATCTAAAGGTATGGAGGTTAAGGATTAGGGTAGAAAGTTGGTAGGTAGTTGAGTTTTGTCTCGTTTTTCGGTGGGATTATGTTTGGTGTGAGTCTGGAAGCATCGTGTATGTCGTAGTATTAACCTTATACATGTAGTTTCTTGCTTTTGATAGTTGTTACCATCTGCTGTCTTTTGTGTTTCAATTACCACATTATTTCGTTATTGTTACTGTTCTTTTTCTGGATGCCATGTACTGCTTTCCATATTAATTGACCTGTTTTATCCACTTCAATATCTCCTTTTTCATTACTACTTTGATTTGTTGCACTTGAGCCGAGGGTCTTTCGGGAACAATCCTTCTTCCTCCACGAGGTAGGGTAAGGTTTGCACACTATACCCTCCCCACTCCCCAGACCCCACTAGTGGAATTACATTGGGTATGTTGTTGTTTGTTGTTATTATTTCTTATTACAAGAACTGTAATTTGAAAAGACATCCTGTTTCCAGGACAGAATTTTGCACTTTTATCTGGAACAAGCATGGCTACTCCACACATTGCTGGAATTGCTGCTCTAATAAAACAGAAGCACCCTGGGTGGAGTCCTGCAGCCATTACGTCTGCGATGATGACAACTGCAGATGTAACGAATGGCTACTCTAGTACCCCTATTTTAGCTCAACAAACAAACCAGCTAACTCCTGCTACTCCTTTTGATTTTGGATCTGGGCTTGTCAATCCATCTCGAGCCATTGACCCTGGACTTATTTTTAAGGCAAGTTTTAAACACTATGTGCTGTTTTTATGTTCAGTTCCAGGAGTCGATGAAATGTCTGTAAGACGAGCAGTTGGAGTTGGATGCCCGAGTAAGAAAAAAGCATGGTGCTCGGATTTAAACACGCCAAGTGTGACAATTTCAAACTTGGTAGGCTCAAGAAATGTGATCAGGAGGGTGACTAATGTCGCTGGTGTAGATGAAACGTACCAAGTGATCGTGCAAGAGCCTCTGGGCGTGAGTGTTACTGTAAGGCCACGAGTGTTTAACATCATTGCAAAGGCTTCAAAACATATTACCTTTGTCCTAAATGCAACTCAAACAACCAACACTTACTCATTTGGTGAAATCGTGTTCCAAGGTAACCAAAACCATACTGTTCGAGTGCCTTTGGCTGTGTTTGTAAGCAGCACTTTACATTCATGATGCTCTTGTATATATATCTTCATAAAATAAAGTTTTGCCTTCTAGCATACACTGTAATCAGACTGTAATGCAGTTTACTTAAATAAGAGAAAATCATTCAGGTAACCTTCTTCTAAGCTCCAATAAATCAGTGAAAGAAAAAGAAGTGATCAAAAGAGACATGAAAGTAAGATTTGATAGCAATTATCAATCTTCAGTTTGTTAATCGATTAACCTTCAAATGCCTTGATTCTTAGACTCAGGTGTGATCCTTTGTTCATCGATGACTCTTCCTTAGTGTAGCAAAAACTTTGGAGAATAGGCCAGGCTTTCTTTGAACCTGTGAGAAAGAAAGTGAGTGTTTTCTTATAAAACAGTGATGTCTGGAAAAGCCAGAGTTGTATATTACTTCCCAACGTTTCAATTTGTTTGTCTTACTTTCCTTTTCATTCCGTTCTCTTTCCCTTTTTGATAACTCTTTAACTTTAACTTTCCACGTAGCATGTTTAAGACGATAAGATTAAAGAACATTTTATTTAGTACATTCTACGTATCTTTAGTTTAAACATCGTGCCAAGTTATCAAAACTAGACAAACAGATTGAAACGGAGGGAGTATAACTAACTTTACAGTAAGTGAATTACCTGAAAACTCTTCACCATGGCTTTTATTTTATTTGTTTTAGAATCCATATTCTTCTTTTTCTTGGATTTCTTATTCTGAGTCATGAATGATCTAAGGAACCTTGGCATAACAAATTTCCAGTTCCCCATACAAGCTGGTACACTAACATATTTTGGCTTGTTTTTCACTGCAACAATCTGAAAAAACTAATAATAATTCTGAGGACAGTAAGAATACTTTTATCATGGACAACACGTTAAAATTCTTTATGTTGTCAGTGTATATAAGTTAAATGCATATAATATATTAGCAAGATAAGAAACTTAGAACCTGAGAATTCTGTCTTTGGACTTGCTGTGGAACTAATGGTGTTGATGGCTTTGATTGATGATGATTCGAAGCTCGAAGATTTCTCGAGTAATCAAGAAGTTGAGCTTTTCTATTGTATCCTCTACCATTTGCAACATGTTTAACATGAAGATGTTGATGTTGAAAGTGATGAAATTTGTTGTTTGTTGAATTGCTTCTCTTTCTTGTTGGCCCCTCTACAAGAACAGCTACATATACAGTCCTTTCTCTCATATATGATACCTAAAACAATCCAAAAAGAAAGTATTAAGCATCATTTTTTCAACAAAAAAAACTAAGGATGATCATAGCACTAACCATTCTTGTTGGCATTTTTTGTTTTTATTGATATCGTTTGTCAGAATCAAAGGGTCTTTTTCCTCCACGAGTAATTGTTTCTCCGATTCTCACAGCTGCTCTCTCCACATCTCCGGATATCGAGGGGAGTGAAAGAAGTATAGGTGAAAAAATTTGGTGTAAAAGGTAGAAAAATGAAAAAGGAAAAAATGTTGGTTGATAGTTTATATAGAAAGTGAAAAATGCAGGCCTAAAGAAAAAAAGATAATTTAAGTGTTAATTCATTGTTAATATCGTAACCGAATAATATTAAAATAATTAAGGAAATGTCCTTCCAAATATGAAATCTAAATTATGATTAAGATACATAATTATAAAAAGTAAACAATGAATTCTATTTTGAAAAGGATGTACTACTATTTTGTTATTGCTTTATGTTTACTTTTTCTTTCTTCATTTGTCTTTATCATTTGGTTGATGATAAAGTAGAAAATGGTGTCTATTTGGTTAGTTAATAGGGACTTTTAAATCATTTAATTTGATGAATCAAATGGGAGTCGTTCTCGAATGAGCTATATAATACGCGATTTAAATATAATTTGAGTTTCAATACGAACTTTGACGTAGCATATAGCAACAAAATAATAAAAAATTAGTTTCAACAAAAATTGAATATTCACAAACTATTTCATAAGTTCCTCCATATTAATATACCTTCGAGATATACATTACTAATAGCTCTTGAATTACAAATCACAAGTTACTCACTAATATTTTTTATCAATAAAATCTATATTTTAATCATATTGTATTTGTGACGGCAATCAATTTCCTAACTTTAAAATTTGTTTAGTAATTTATTGCAGACAGACCTCATTTGCAGCAAAACACAAATAGGGAAACTTTGGTCATCTATTAGACCCCACTATACCAGCCTATGGTTGGTAAGCAATCTTCTATAAAGTGCTAAGAATAGGGTGTTTGCATTTCGACAGGCTAATTGGGATCGATTATCATGTATTGATATAATATTGAAATCAATTTGACGTTTCGATACACTAACTTGAAACGGGTACCACCGGTACCATCATTTCCTTTATAGAGAATTTATATTTGTTGAACATCCTTTTATATATTACCAACTTCCTCAAATGTTAACTTAGCCATCAAAATCTTTATCACCATCCAAACTTGTGATTTACAATTGATGAAGAAATAACAAGAGCGTATTCAACGAAATTGTATAAAATGGGATTTGAAAAAGATAATAATGCAAGCTGTCTTTATCATTATTTTAATGAGGTAGAGAAATTGTTTTCGAAAGACCAACGGCTCAAGCAAATCAAAGTAATGAAATGAAAAAAAGATTGCACGAAGAATCATGTGCTATGCTTCACGGATTTTTGTGATTCGGAATTTCCGAACAAAATGGTCGAAATTTTGTATTGATGTCCGTCAAGACCTTAGCTATGGATCCAGTTCACCCCGCAAGGAAAACAGAGGCATTTTCAAGTTCAAACGAGCCTCAAAGCATGTAAACGCAGATTTTGTCGAATTTTGTGTGCTATAGTCCATGAATATTTTGTGATCCAAAATTTCCGAAAAAAATGTCTGAAATTTTTCATGGACATTTGTTAAAACCTTATCAATGAACCCAGTTCATCCCGCGGGGAAAATGGGGACATTTTCAAGTTCAAACGAGCTTCAAAGCAAGTAGACCCAGATTTTACCAATTTTCATGTGCTATAGTCCATGAATTTTTTGTGGTTCGGACTTTTCAAAACAAAATGACTGAAATTTTTTCTTGACATCAGTTAAGACCTCAACAATGGATCCAATTCGTCCGCAGTGAAAACAGGGGCATTTCAAGTTGAAACGCATCACAAAGCAGGTAAAACAGATTTTTTGTGATCCGAAATTTCCGAAATAAAATAGTCAAAAATTTTCTTGACGCCCGTGAAGACCTTAGCAATGGACCCAGTTCATCCCGCGGGAAAAACGAGGGCAATTTTAAGTTCAAACAACTCCAAAGCAGGTTACCGCAAATTTTATCGATTTTTGTATGCTATAGTTCACAGATTTTTTGCAAACCGAAATTGCCAAAATAAAATGGCCAAAAAATTTTTATGGACATCCGTTAAAACCTTTTAAATGGATCCAGTTCATCTCGCGGGGAAAACAGAGACATTTTCAAGTTCAAACGAGTCCCAAAGTAGATAACCGCAGATTTTATCGATTTTCATGTGCTATTATAGTCCAATGATTTTTTGTGATCCAAAATTTCCTAAACAAAATGGCCGAAAATTTTTGTGAAAGTTCGTTAAGACCTAAGCAATGGACCTATTTCATCCCTCAGGTAAAACAGATGTATTTTCAAGTTCAAACGAGCCCCAAAGCAGGTAAACAGATTTTGCCTATTTTCGTGTGCTATAGTCTATGAATTTTTTGTCATTTGAAATTTCCAAAATAAAATGACCAAAAATTTTCATGGACGTCCATGAAGATCTTAGCAATGGACTCAATTCATCCCGCTGGAAAAATGAGGTATTTTCAAGTTAAAACAAGTTCCAAAGTAGGTAATCATATATTTTTTTGATTTTCGTGTGTTGTAGTCCATTGATTATTGTGAACCGCAATTTTTTGAAAAAACTGACGAAATTTCATATGGACGTCCATTAAGACTTTAACAATGATCCAGTTCATCCCGCAGGAAAAAAGAGGTATTTTCAAGTTCTAACGAGCCCAAAAGCAGGTAAACGCATATTTTATCGATTTTCATGTGTTATAGTCCATGGAATTTTTTTTAATCCGAAATTTGAAAAAATAAAATGGCCGAAATTTATCATAGACGTCCGTTAAGACATTAGCAATAGACTCAGTTCGTTCCGGTGGAAAAACGAAGGTACTTTCAAGTTCAAACAAACTTCAAAGTAGGTAAACACAAGTTTTGTCAATTTTCGTGTGCTATACTCCATGGATCTTTTGTGATCTGTAATTTCATAAACAAAATGGACGAAATTTTTTATGGACGTCCGTTAAGACCTTGGTAATGGATCAAGTTCATCACGCAGAGAAAACGGGAAAATTTTCAAGTTCAAAAGAGCTCTAAAGCAGGTAAACGCAGATTTTATCGATTTTCGTGTGCTATAACACATAAAATTTTTGTGATTTGAAATTCCCAAATTAAATGCTCGAAATTTTTCATAGACGTCTGTTAGGCCTTTAGCAATGGACCAGTTCATTCCACGGGGAAAATAGGGGCATTTTAAAATTCAAATGAGCTCAAAAGCAGGTAACCACAGATTTTATCAATTTTCGTACACTATAGTTCATGGATTTTTGTGATCCAAAATTTTCAATATAAAAATGGCAAAAATTTGTTATGAACGTCCGTTAAAACATTAGCAATGGATTCAGCTCGTTCCGCTAAAAAAATAGGTGCATTTTCAAGTTCAAACGAATCCCAAAGCAGGTAAATACAAATTTTGGTTATTTGTGAGCTATAGTCGATGAATTTTTCATTATTCGGATTCCTGAAATAAAATGACCAAAATTTTTCATATACGTCCGTTAAGACCTTAGCAATGGACCTAGTTCGGCCCGCGGAGAAACTGAGGGCATTTTCAAGTTTGTTCACGAATAGGAGAATGCATATTTTGTCGATTTTCATGTGCTATAGTCCATGAATTTCTTGTGATACGAAGTACCCGAAATAAAATGGACAAAAAAACTTGCGGACGTCCGTTAGTATCTTTACAATGGATCCAGCTAAGACCTCAACATGGACTTAGTTCGTCCCACGAAAAAATTAAAGATATTTTCAAGTTCAAACAAGCTCTAAAGTAGACTCATATTTC